CCTGGCTTGCGAGGTTGACTTAGGCCTTGGTACTTGCAATAACAATATATTTTCAACAAAAGATGCATCAGGATTTTATGCTTGTGACCATATAAAAGTAAATAAACTTTTCTGTATTTTTCTTCATTAGTTTATTCTAAAATGTACATTTGTACTCGCACATTTATAATACCAGGACCAAAGTTGCTCGTTGTTAATATTTGCATTTACATTGTCGCTTTGTATTTACTTCTGCGCTTGCGTTTTCGAACGATTCTTAACAAAGTTTTTAAAGGAATATTTTGAAAACTATTTTTAATAACCAGATGATGACAAAGTGTACTGAATTGTAATTTGTTTGAAACTTGAAAGGCATTGAATGTTGAAAGTGCCAAATAGAACTAGCTAGTTAATACGGTGAAAAAATGTAACCGATTGTTTATTGATCATGCAGTACCGATATCAATCTCAATTTCAGACCTGAAGTTAAACAAAATGCATTTACTTCTGAGTTCTGGCGATTATGTTTTTTGGGAAAGTATTAATTTGACTTTCTCTCCCGTATTTATTGCAACAAACGAAACGTGCTACTATATATAATATATAGTACTACAGCTACTATATATAATATGAAACTGCTACTATAATATATAATACTAACCATAAAATTGATGTCAATTTCACACTCTGTACAGTATATACTGATGTAAATACAAACACAAACTACTTAGTTAGAAAACACACTGCATGCTAATGTACGTACATATATTAACTAAAGTGAATTTGACCAATCAAAACGTTTAAACTGTATATATTTGCGAATAGTTTCGCTACTGTGTCAGGTTTTACAACAAGTTCACGACCAGGCTGTTCTCAATGCAATGAATGCATGCAATTATTGATTGTTGCCGTATAATCTTGCTGCAGAGCGGTATAGACATAAACAAAGTGTCCTATACATTTTGGCCGGCCGTACTTTTAATATTGAACTGCAATTGGAACAGAATAGGACTGACACATACAAAGATTACATGATTTTGTCCATGTTTGCACGTTCATTCATACAGTATTTTAATATTAAACGCACTTATGTATAAAATGAAATACGTAGAAAATTATATTCTTCGCAGACTAATTAAAATCACAATCTGTCGAACGAGCTGTGGAAGTTTATAGTCTTGCTGTTGGACCGAGAAAAACACTTTGAAATTCCAGTATGATATATCATAGTAATTTTCCTCACCATATTTTTATTGATAACATCCTATGGCCGGCTATGCGACTTCATGGTCGACATACGTATAAACAACCCCTTCGGCGTCGCCCAGTATTGAAGTTGAAAATATTCAATATATTCAAATAACTTCTAAAACAATTATATTTTCCAAAACACACATCATATTTTCCAACTGAGAGGTGTCTTCTTTAATACACGTTGTCATTGATACAGTAGAACTTTGTATTCTGGGTATACTTTTTCGAAGTTTCATCCATATTTTCAGAATAAAATTACAAGTATATTAATTTATATTTTTATAATAAAAACGCGGCTCCGTTCGTGTGGTCCTACACGCGTTATACACGCGTTCGCGCAGACGTTTTAATTGGCTAACACAGACAATAGACATACGTCACGGAAATCGAATTCCCGCTCGTTTCCGCAGACGTTATTTCCAAGCGAAGAATGAGCGTCGGAAATGACGTCTGGGTTCGCAGACTAGTATCTCTATCGTTTTGGAAACGTTTCGTCGATGATGTCATCTCTGCGGTTTCTAGTAATGAAATCGATATTCTGCTGCAACATTTAAATTCTATTGAGCCGTCCATCCAATTCACGGTAGAACGTGAGATAAATGGACATTTAGGTTATTTGGATTTGAATGTACACAGAACTGTCGAAGGGAAGTTAGAGACTGATTTTTATCGCAAACCCACACACACACACAGACAAATACTTGTCACACGACTCTCATCACCCAGTAAGCCATAAAAGATCCGTAGCAAAAACTTTGCTTCAAAGAGCTGAATCCTTGCATGCCGTCAAACAGTGATTCTCAAGCTAATCAACGTGAATATGTTCTAAATATTTTAGGGGAAAACGATTACCCGAAACGTTTTCTTAATGATTGCCTGAGATCACCTGTTTGTAGGAACGAAAATAACTCCGAGGGTGATACCTCTGTTAAGGGTTATGCAATAGTTCCACACATTCAAGGTGTCACAGAACCAATCAAGAGAATGTTAAGTAATTGTAATATTAAGGGTGCCTTAAAACCTTATTTGACTTTAGGCCATACTTTCGCAAAGCCAAAAGATCCTGTTAAAATAAATCAGAAAACTCATGCTGTATATTCTATACCATACGGTGACTGCGAGAAAGAGTATTTGGGTCAGTCTAAACGCCAGTTTGGTACATGGCTAAAAGAACATCAAAAGGCTGTTTCAACTTTAGACAAGGGAAAATCAGCTTTAGCCGAACATGTATGTTACACCAAACACGAGATTGCGTGGGAAAACTCTAAAGTAATTACCACAAATAATCGCTATGGTCAAAGACTTTGCCTAGAAGCGTGGCATATAAATATGAGTAATCATGCTTTGAATAAGGATGACGGTGCCTATTTGCCAGAGGAATATATGCATCTCATTGGCAGGTGACGTCATCCCTTGGGTATTTAAGAAGCCACGATTGCATCTTTAGATCACCCCTGATGAAGACACTAGACTGAAGGGTCGAAACGTTGGGTCCTGATTACAATTTGACTGGGCTTTGTAATCATTTATTTAAACCAGAGTAACGAGCGAAACATGGTTGATATCCCTGGTTGCAGTGAACCAACAAACTTTAAATGGTACTTAGTGTTTGCTGATTGGCTAATTGGACCCGGACAAAAAAGTGGGTTATCAAATTACACTGCCAAATCCAGCAGGCAGTAGTTTAGACCGCCTTGCCATGCAGGCTACGGGCAAGTGTTAAGTTACACCTCTACTATTTGCATCTTCCCAAACTGTGGAGTCTGGACCTGTAAATTCTGATCAACAAGTCTTAAGATCATAGTCTTAAAAAGCCGTGGTTATGATCAAAAGAAAATTAATATATATTTTTAGGATTGCACTGGGGAGTAATGTCTAAAAAGCCGTTACCGTGGTCAGAAATGGAAATCCTGACCGTTACCGTGGTCAGAAATGGAACACGTCAAAATAAAGACATTACACGGCTTCACTATTTACATGAAGCTGTGTACTGTAGGTTCATAAAATAGAGTATTACGTCTTACAACATGCAGAATTCGCTCCAATTTTTGCGGTAGGAAATCGAGCCGTAATGATTTATGTTCAGAAAGTGCAACTTTCGTGCAACTTTCGGTGAAGGCGCGACTCGTTGACATAATGTCAGTGTAACTCATTGTAATGTCAGTGTGAAGTATGATCGTATGCTCGACTTGTACTGGCCTTAAAATATCTTTTACAGGACCGTCTGACAAAATGTCCGATGACTTTGAGTTTGGGTCGGAAATATGTACGATGATGTCCGATGACCTTCAGTTCAGTTTGGGTCGGAAATAAGTCTGAATAATATCAGCGCAATGTATTAATTCGGAACTAAATGTTGTGAAGATATTAAATAATTTGTGTCATCCATACTTATTTGCAAGCCAAAATTAACTTGTTTTGTCAATAACAGCTGTAAGACTTCCACAACTTAAGCCCGTTTTCCACTTCGTCATTTCGCTTGCCACCCCGCGCTCGATTACATTAAAACGTTATTTCCGGTTCACTTTTTACACATCTCTCCATTTAACACAGAAGCTTCTAGTCATGGACTAAGGTACATTTTGATTTACGTCTGTAAAGTCCTCGATATATTATTATTTAAGAACCAAAAACTACATGTTCAACCATGCATTATATACTAATTACAATAACACCTAATTATCATATGTAGTAAACAATTAACTTACAAATGACCACACATCTCCTTTTCGAAGATAAATATTTTTATGTCTCTTAAATGTCATTAAATTACTTAGTTCTAAATGTCATTAAATTACTTAATTCTAAATGCGTTCTTTTTTTGTTTTTTTTCTAATTTAAATCTAAGTGTTCTTTAATTCTTATAATTGTTTCTAATCGCTAAATTATAATTGTTTCAGTTCGTCAATCATATAAGTTCACAAATTGAGTCTATTAGGCGGTACAACAACACGTCCTGAACGAGTTCTCACGACATTGTCGGACGTACTATTGGGACATGAAATGTTCTCACTCGTACTCTCGTTCGTAGGTTGTGATTCTCTCATAACTGGTTCCTTTGGACTGGGTACTACTTGTCGTCTATTTCTTCTCACCGTGCCTTTTTCCGTTTGCACAATATATGATCTTGGTTCGGGTGACTTGGAAACAACAACTGCTGGAGAACTCATTTCTGGCAACCAAACTGTTTCTCCAGGACTCAGGTCAGACAAACATGTCGCTCTATGTCGCTTGTTGTAACCTTGCGTTTGTTGACGTTTGTATGTCTGTTCGTTCTTTCTTAATTGTTCCGCGTCTAATAACATAGGTTTCAGCTTTTCTGGAGATAAAGGCAAAGTAGAACGTAATTTGCGTCCCATCAGTAACTCTGCTGGAGTGTGTCCGTTCTGTAGTGGTGTTGTTCTGTAGGACAGTAGAGCCAAATATGGATCTTCAGATTTGACAAATAGACTCTTTGCGGTCTTTACTGCCCTCTCTGCCTCTCCATTACTTTGAGGGTAATAGGGACTGCTTGTTAAATGGGTAAACCCCCATTCGTCCGCAAATTTGGAAAAGGTAGCTGCAGAAAATTGCGGCCCATTATCCGACATAACAATTTCTGGGATACCATGACGACAGAAAAACGATTTCAAGTGGTTCACGACGTTCTCTGAAGTGGTATTCTTGAGTGGAGCGACTTCGAAGAATCGGGAGTAATAATCGACAGCGATGACATAGTCTTTTCCATTATGATGGAAAAGGTCTGTGGCAATCTTTTGCCAGGGTCGTTCTGGGAGTGGAGACGCTATCATAGGCTCTGCGTGGTTTTGTCGATGCTTACAACAAGTTGGGCACGTCGTAACCATATCTTCAATCTGCTTACTCAGCCCTGGCCACCACACAGACTCGCGTGCTCTTTCTCGACACTTTCGAATTCCTTGATGACCCGCATGGATTTTATCCAGAGTATCCAGTCGTAATGAAGACGGGATGACTAATCTTGTATCTTTCATCAGAATACCTCTTTGCACTGTGATATTACCTCTCTCTGGCCAATAAGCAAGAAGAGTTGAGTTCAGCTTGGTCCTATCTGGCCAGCCTTCAGTGCAAAATTCTGAAAGTTTTCTGCACACTTCATCATCTTGTTGATGAAGTCGAATTTCTTCAAGTTTCCGTTCGCTAGCTGGTAGGCTTTCGAAAATGTTCGCCACATACAAGCTCAAATCTTCTGTCAACCGCTTATCGACTTTGGTAGGTGGTTTTCTCATTGGCGCTCTTGAAAGAGTATCAGCAGTGACTGACACCTTTCCTGGTATATGATTAACGTGGAATGAATATTTCATCAGTCTCACTTTAAATCTCTGAATTCTAGGAGGGAGTTGATCAAGAAGCTTTGTGCCAAATAAAGGAACAAGTGGTTTGTGGTCTGTCTCAATGAGGATATCTTTCCCAAGAATATAATCGTTAAATTTCTCGCACGCCCAAGTTGTTGCCAAAGCTTCTTTTTCACTGTTGTGCTGTTCGGTGCTAGTCATAGATCTGGATGCGTATGCAATTGGCTTTCTTTCACCGTTCTCTTGTTCTTGTAGAAGGACAGCCCCAAGACCATAAGAGGAGGCATCTGCTGACAAAATAGTTTTCTTGGAAGGATCATAATATGCAAGTACTGGTGTGGAACTTAATTCGACTTTCAACTTCTCGAAGGCTTCTTGTTGAGCTGGTCCCCATAGAAACTGATTGTTTTTACTAAGGAGGTCTCTAATTGGCTTCGTTTTCTCTGCTAAGTGGTTAATAAACTTCCCAAGTTGGTTGACCATTCCAAGGAATCTACGTACATCGCCCACATTCTGAGGTGCATCCATGTCTCGAATCGCCTCTATTTTATCGGGATCAGACTTGATTCCTTCTTCTTTAAGGATACAACCAGCAAACTTGACTTCTTTCTTTGCAAACTCGCATTTCTCTGGATTAAGTGTAGCTCCAGATTCATCTAGTTTCTTCAGCACTGCTCTAAGTCTAGTGTCATGTTCTTTCTGGGTCTTCCCATGGATCAATATGTCATCAATTATGCATACTTGACCATCCAGGCCTTCCAAAATTTCGTTCATTTTCTTCTGATAATGCTCAGGTGCCGTCTTGATACCAAAAGGCATTCGATTGAAGCAGAACCTGCCAAACGGTGTGATAAACGTGGTTAATAACCGAGATTGTTCGTCTAGCTTCTCCTGCCAAAATCCTGAATTGCAATCCAATTTAGTGAAGATTTTGGATTCGCTGATCTGTGCTAATAGGTTATCTATCTTTGGAAGAGGGTAAGTCTCGCGAAGAACATTCTCGTTGAGTTTCGTTAGGTCGACACATATTCGAATATTACCATCTGGTTTGGGTACAATGACCATCCCTGCACACCACTCGGTGGGTACGTCGACTTTCGAGATAACGCCCAAATTTTTCATTCTCGCCAATTCTGCCTTGACTTTGTTCAAGAGCGGGATTGCCACTCTTCTTGGCGTCATCAGAGCGAAGGGTGTTGAGTCAGGTTTCAACTTAATACTGAAATCACCATCCAACTCTCCTAGGCCTTTGAACAAATTTGGATAAGTGGATTTAACTTCGTCTTCGATCACGCTGCTCTCGTCAGCTTGAATAGTTTCTACTTTCTGCATCAGGTTTAGGGCATCAATAGCAGGTCTTCCAAGCAAAGGCTCTTTAAGATTCCCAATAACATAAATATCTTGCCATGTAAAGTCCTCGCAAGCATCTCTTTTGTGCACTGGCGATTTCCCACATCGATAACATTGACTTTTACCGGCTTGATACGGTTTCAAAATTTGCTCTCCTTTCGAGTTCTCTGGCGGTTTTGGTTTATTTTGTCCCTTAGTCTTGCGGAGGCGATTAATTTTTCCATCTTCGCCGTCTCCCTGAAGGATAATGTGGTGATGCTTGACTAACTCTGAACTTTTGGCTTCTTTTACAGCTTTATCCAAAGTCAATTTCTCGTCTTGCATCAGCTTTTGCGATAGACTTGCATTTCAAATACCAACCACAATACGATCTCGTATAAGTTCATTCTTTAGATCTCCAAACTGGCATGTCTCTGCTAATTCGTATAGCGCTTCGATAAAATCGATCACCGACTCTTTCTCGCCTTGTACACGTTTATTAAAGCGAGCTCGTTCGAATATAACATTCGACCGTCCCACAAAATGCGATGCGAATTGTTGAATAACTGTCTCGTAGACATAGTCTTTTTCGCTGAGATGAAAGCTTTTCAAGATATCGTTGGCATTTCCACCTATTGCATAAACCAAAGTGTTTATCTGGACTTTGTCATCAAGTCCCGCTGCAACGCGATAGCATTCAAAGCGTTCTATCCATCACTTCCAATCTTCTGGCTTTTTTTAATCTAACTTTTCAGGCAAAGGGATCTGTGCTGTCGCCATTCGAAAATATATTATCGACCGGGTTTTTCTCTTTTCCGATTATTTCACTTCCCCAAACACCTGACACCATGTAAAGTCCTCGATATATTATTATTTAAGAACTAAAAACTACATGTTCAACCATGCATTATATACTAATTACAGTAACACCTAATTATCATATGTAGTAAACAATTAACTTACAAATGACCACACAGAGGCTGCATGGGTCTCCTCCAAATTGCACTAGATGTTTTGCAAAATCCAAACTTCCTTTGCCATTTGACAATATTTCTAACAATATTTTGTCCTTTTGCTCTCCATTTAAATTGGTAATAAAGTCCTGTAACAAAAGTAAATATTAATATTTAAAAGCCAACAATACTTTTCTGCATGTTTATACGTGTGCTGAACATTTTAATACAACCACAAAGATACAGGCTACCAACACTGGAATTTAAATGATGATCACATCCGTTACAAATTTTGTCGTACAGTTGTTTATAAAAGTAACTGAAGGGCACAAACTTGGAACAAACTGTATGGACTAAAGATGTATTCAGTCAGCACTTTTGCTTTAAACTTTCCAGACAGGTAGGTATAAGGCAACTGAAGGCAAAGTTCTTTTATATCCCTACCGTTATTTGTTGTCTGGCTTCTTCAACAGCAATTCGATGGCGCTCGAAAGCGTTTCTTCCAGCGTTCGTATCTGAAGTAGCTTGCTCTGCTATTTTGTTTTTGCAAAGAGCTTTTTTTGTTCCACAAGAGCATTGCTCAGTGCAAGCAAGCATATCATCGCGACACGGGTACCCACGTCTTTTCCTCCCACTTCGCTTGCTGCATGTATTCTTGCATTCACAAAACTAAGTGAATAAATACTCAATATGTAAATACACGTTCTGTAGTATACTGTTCAAAAAACACTATAAATAAAATACTATAAAATGTGATTATTTTTAAACATAAAAAAAGAACACTTACTTGAGTTCGATTACTTTCAATATTTTGACGTGCAGGTGCAACTGCCAAAATCTCTTCGTCCACAGGTTGTATGACTGGCGATCCATAAGCATTCAGATTGTCTTCTGGATCATACTGTTCAACAGCCAGATCTGAATCCGATTCTGAGTCAGACATCTTCACTTTCTTTACAAAAAAGAGCTCCAAAAATGGCAAAATTGGTTGACTATAAAATTTTATATATTAAAAACCAGGTGAGAATTTCCGAGTACAGTGATACTGCCTGCGTGTTTGCCTGCGGACAGGTTCTTTCAGCATTTGTAAATAAACACAAGTGCACAATGCATCACAGTTGAGACTCATTCTTTAATAAAGTATATGAATAGGGTCTTGTTTCAAAACAGTTATGTTTGCTTAAGGCCAATGTTACACAAGGCATTGTTGTTGCAATGTGAAACATAATTTTGGATACAGTGCCATGTTATCTGAAAAGTAGTCGCAAGGAAATTGTCAACATTGCCCATACTCTTAGGGGTGAACTACTGAAGAAATGGGACAAAAAATGACGGTAGAATAAACCATGGGTCATGCTCACAATTTATCTAGATAACATTGCTCTATGTCAGAAATTACATTGCAAGTTGCAGCAAACATTGCCTCGTGTAACATGGCCTTTATAGATATTGCCAACTTATTCTGAACTTCATTCAGAAGTTTGTTCGTTTAATTTATGAACCAATCGGAGCCTTTGCTTACAAACTGGTTTGTGAATTTCAAATAAAGTTTTGAACTTTGCATTGAACTTGCAAACTTCACAACAAAGTTTGGAATATTTTGGCAAAAGTTATGTGAAAATTTCTGTAACACAAAAATAACTTTTTAACAAAAATGTCTTTTCAACATACAGTACTGTATGTGAATATTCACATTCTATATGAAATAAGGTTGCATTCAGGGCACTGGCAATACATTGAGCAAAATGAACAACATTCATGACCAACCATCACACTTACTGGATTTCCGCATTGTAAGTATTTTAATAAAAAGCTCCGTAGACACTTATCTTCAGTCTGACAGTAAGCTCTCATATCTGCTCCAACACGTCAGTGGTTCTTTCCAATATCTCTGTTATTGTAGTAAACAACTGCTTTAGACAGAAGTCCAGCTCTTCCTGTTTCTTGGAAGTATTGTTGAATGGATGCAGGTGGTCCAACATGAATAATTTCTCAAATACATAGAATATCAATGCCCATACCAAGGGCCACAGTTGCAAAAATAACTGGAATTGTTGAAGACATAGATTTCACTTGATTCAGAATAATTTCTTTCATTGCTGAGGTTTGTGGTGCATGGTACTGTGCAAACCCTAACAAAAAAAGTCTATAGCCTGGCCTATTGGCCAACCTATAGGTTTCTATAGGCAATTGGAACATTTTCTATAGGTGACCTGTAGGGATGCCTACAAGCTTATATAGCTCTACAGGGTGTATAAAAAAAAACTGAACAGATTTGAAATTGCTCTCAAATTTCGCAAAACACCTATTTGTATCTTTTTTTTATATATATATAGCTTCTTTGGGTACTTATAATGTAAAATAATGAAAAAAATTTCCCAAACTCAAATTTTGTCAACCAGGGGGTGTGTCTTTTCCAACAAACTAAAAATGGCTCGCGCACAAAATTTAAAAGCTGTAATAATATTTTGAGTTGATAGATTGAAAATTTGTCGGGTTTTTAATTACTGTACAAAATTTCAGACAATTTGGTTTAGTTTAAGCCCTTTAACTATTCATTTTGTTCTAAAAAGTCAGCCTTTCGCATGCTTAATTAATGCCTTTACCTAATTTGCATATTGCTGACATATGCAAATTAGGCAAATGCATTAATTAAGCATGCAAATAGCTGATTTTTCGGGAAAATTGTAACTTTGCGTGAATAGTTAAGGGGCTTAAACTAAACCAAATTGTCTGAAATTTTGTACAGTAATTAAAAACCCGACAAATTTTCCATCTGGTAACTCAAAATATGATTGTAGCTTTTAAATTTTGTGCGCGAGCCATTTTTAGTTTGTTGGAAAAGACACCCCCCCCTGGTTCACAAAATTTGAGTTCGAGAAATTTTTTTCATTATTTTACATTATAAGTACCCAAAGAAGCTATACACATAAAAAAACAGATACAAATAGCTGTTTTGCGAAATTGAGAGCAATTTTAAATCTGTTCAGTTTTTTTTGATACACCCTGTATATATATATATATATATATATATATATATATATATATATATATATATATATATATATATATATATATATATATATATATATATATATATGTAGGTTAATTTCAAAATTTGTGATTTTTTCATGTTGGGATAAAGCAGAACAAAAGCATAGATGGTACTGCAATCAAAATTTGAAAACTTCAATAGTACAGTATATACATTTTGGCGCATATAGGAACACATGCACTGTAGTTGACAACGTAAAAAATGGCACTTGCATGTTCAATCAAACGTTCAGGTTCTTGCTGAACTTACGTGTAATTGCAATTAGAAAATCTTGTGTCATTTGAACTGCATGTATAAACCAAACAGTCAAGTTGATGGGCTATTCTAAAAATGTTTTTGCCGGCAAAGTAATCTAATAATATATACAGTACATCGATTTAATTGGAGTTGGTGGGATTAACTTAAAATCCGGCTGGTGTTAAGAGAATAAATTTCTGAATTGATGCAGCTTGGAAAGAGCGTAATGGTTTGCTTGTGAAGCATATAGGTTCGATTCCTGTAGTGCTTTATAAATCTGTTGCATCACCTGGAAAATTTACCTTTTGTAACATTTAAACAACTACCGGGTGTCCCAAAAAAAAGTACTCCGGTTTGATTCGTAATAACTTCTGAACAAGTAAAGCTTTTAAAGAGAAATACTTGCATCAAATAGAGAAAGGACAAACTTAGATTTTGGTATATAACAGTTGTATTTCACTTAAATATTCACGGAGATATTAATGTTTAAAATCGGGAGAATATTTCTGGATGTGTCTGAAATATGCAAAAAACGGCGTATCAAATATTAAGCAAGATTTGCCCGACTGAAACATGCACGATTTACCAGTAAATAAATGATACTTGACAAATTATTTATTATGAAACAAGGTATTATTATCTACAAAATACAAGCAAGATTTATTCATCCGAAATCCGTGTGTTCCTAGCACGAAAACGTTTCCTTATTTCATGAGACCACTGCATCGCGAAGGATCGTCATGAATCGTTCGTAGTTCTGAATTAAGGCATGCTGTCACAATGGAATTGTGAAGCTCTTCTAACTTCTGCAACGTTAATTCTGAAATCTTGTTAAGAACACTCATATTCTTTTGCCTTTTCTTAATTTTTCAAGTTCAGAATAAACTGAGTATGAAACACAATCAAACCAAACAACTCCATAAGACATAACATTCAAGGAACTCCCCAGAGACATCCAACATTTTTGGAACAAAACGTAACAAAATAGTAGCGTCGATACTGTGTTGTGTATTTGCAAAAAGCAACATTATTTCCTTCATTGTAGAATAATATTCATCCTGCTCTAACTGAGAAATAATCAACTCCGTTTTGAACCCATG